ACACTCCCACACTAAGCACCTTCCTCTTTCATGTCCATGACGAGAGACAGCCAACAATCAAATTCGTGACTCACCCAGCACTTCCCTCTGCTCCCTTCCCTGGCTCCGCTCCCTGCTGCCACTTTGGAGGACTGAGCCCTGGGATGCCATCTGTGGGAGCTCATCTAGTTCCAGAGCTTCAACACTCCCATGTCCGCAGGACTCCAGGCCCGGAAACTAAGAGTCCTCTCAGACTTCTCATCCCTCTCTATAATCCACACAGGAGAAAGGATTTCATCCGTTTACAATCACATCGCATTTTTAGGAGTCATGAAAACATTAGAGACAAAGCTGAAAGTGACCCTGAGACATCACCTCATGTCCCCTTTGCTTTTATGCATGAAAGCATTAGTAAAACAGGGATGTGATAGACACTCTTCTTTATGATATGAAAGTTATCCTTTTTGAGCCTGTGGTATGAGATTAAAAAAAAAAATCTCTCAAGTCTTTGTGCCTAGTTCTTGGCAAGGAACTCACAAAACCTTTAGCTTTTCCTGAGGGATGGGAGTGACTTTGTTATGCTAATGAGGTGGCTGCAGAGGGTCCCCAGATAGCTGCACCATGGGGGCTTGGTTACTGGAAAAACCAAACGCATGATCAGAGGGTTGGAACGCGGGGCCATGTCGGGCCACGCTGACCTCTGGGGATAGAAGCAGGAGACTGAGTTCAATTGTGTGGCCAATGATTCCATCGATCATGCCTACAAGATGAAACTAACTAAAAACTCTGAACACAGAGGATCAGTGGAGCTTCTAACTTCCCAGGCTGTGAACACATTAATGTGCTGGGAGGGGGATATATCCGGATTCTCGGAGAAACGGCAGAGAAGCTCTTGGTTCTCTACCAGACCTCACCCCAGGTGTCTCTTTGTGTGGTTGGTCCTAATTTGTATTTTCTGTAATAGGACTGTCAGAAGTAGAGCATTATCCTGACTTTTGTGAGTCTTTCTACTAAACTATCAAACCTGAGAGAAAAACAACAAATTGATAGCTAGTCAGGAGTGTAGTTGGCCTGCGGACCCCCCCTAAGTGTTGCTGGTTAAGCAAGGGTGGTTATGCGGGGACTGTACCCTCCAGCCCGTGGGGTCTCAGCTAACTCTGGGTGGCTATCGGCAGAGTTGAACAACAGTGCACCCAGCTGGGGTTTTACTGGAAGAGTCCCTACTGTACGCCAGGCACTCAACTGGGAAGTCAGCTGCATACACTATCATCAAGGGAGCCCAGTGCCCTGCCTGCCACCTCTCAGGGTTAAGAATAAAGTGCACACACATGTTGAGAATTCAAAACAAATATCGCAGTCTTTCGTTATGAATTTGAACAAGTCTACACCTCCTGGCAAGGCTCAAGATTGCTTTAAACTCAGTTCTTTCAAGAAATGGTTCTTATTGACATCTCCCTGGAAGTGGCCAAAGTGAGGCTGTCACTTGAAAATAACACCCAGACTTCAAAAGAGAGCGAAAAACTCTGTGTGGAGTGCCTTGCCTGTGGCCAGTAAGAACTAGCCAGCGGTCACATGCCTGAGGCGGAGGAACAGAAGCGCGAGGCTCTATTCCTACGTCTCACTGGCTTGCCAGGGCAGGGTGGCCACCAACCACCTGCAGAAGCCACCTGAATGCTGCTTCCAGGGCAAGGACTGCATCTAACACTCTCCTAAGTCATCTTGTGGGTGGTTAACTTTTTTTTCCCAGTAGTAATTAGAAAGTTTCATTTAACTGTCCCAAAGTACAACAGAAATAATCTTTACTTCTGCCATTAACAACATTGTGCATACAAGATAATTCCAGAACAATGTTTCCTGAGTGCAAAAATTGCACCTGCAAAGTCCAATATGGCAAAATAAAGACAGACACAGAGTCAAACTCCCTGAATGACGTGAAACATTACAGTTCCAATGTCTGATACTCAAATAAGCTTCTAGTGATGAGCTGGCTGGGACTGGACAGAAATACAGGCAGGACAGACCCTGAGGGGCTTCCAGTTAATGTGCTCACCACTCCCACAGCAGGACAGCTGAGAAAGGTGCCCTGTTGGTTAAGATGCCTGTTTTTTATCAGCTTGTGGAAACCCAGAAGAGGCCCAGGCTCTCTTGCTTCCTGAGCAGCGCTTCCCTGACTGTCCAGAGGGCAGCAGGAAATTGGGCTTCTGGCTTCTCTCTCCCCCGGAGGCTGTGAGCGCACTTAACTTAAAAAAAAAAAAGTAGGAAGTACCATTTGTCCACGAATGTCCATGAGGTCTTTCCATTCCCCTCTTCCCACAGAGAAAACATGAATCTTTTATGAAATGTAAACAAACGTATGAATTTTCAAGCTTTAGAATGAGAACTCCCTCCAAATCAGAATCATTATCTGATCAACCAAATCACTCTCACTTAAAGGCTTCCAAAAATACTAATAATTTACTGAAAACTAATTTGCAAAGCAAGTTCCTGTGTGAAGAAAATAACAATGTGGCAGAAGTTGTTTTCTTAGAGACAAAAATTTTATTCCTATTTTGAAACAAGGATAATTAAGAAATAGGCCAATCATTCATATTTTATTATAGTTCTTATGTTTTGAAAATATACTGAAATGCTTAGAAATAGCCAAACATCAGTCATGTCATAGAGTAAAGCTTCCCAGAGAATTAAGCAGTAAAAAAGATATCAAATATCTTGTCACAGGCCAGGCTATAAAACCTGTGTCCCTTTCCTGAATTTTAGGTATATCTATTTGGATCCAAATTCTGGGGGAAATCAATGCAAATACTCAGTGGGTTTACTGGATACTTGATCATCTATGTAAAAGTTCTGACAACAAAACTCAGGAAGACTTGCCTATGTTGTCCTCACCTGGAAGCTGCCTTGCAGGGTTATAGGCAGAGATCCTATGTGTAAGGAGACAGGTCTGTAGGGCTTGTGGTGAAGCAAGGCTCTGGGAAAGGTCGGGCCCCAACACTATCAGCTGGCCGCTTTAGTGCTCACAAATCCTCACTCAGGAACCAGGGACCAGGGCTTCTCTTTGAGCTTCCCAGGGATGGAAGCCAGGAGAAGGGAGTATACATTAGAGAAGACCTCAGTGGTCATTCATGCTACACCTCATTCTACACATGGGGAAACTAAGTTCTGGGAAAGCAAAAGACTTTGCCTGATGTTCCTGAAGTTTCCTGCTCCAAGCCATACTTCCTCTCAAAAAGAAACCAGATTTTCAAAAGGCCCATTAAGGTCAGCCTTATAATTTTTGAGCCCTGAACTCACATTTGATTGAGGAAAGGCCTCTACTGGGAATCCTCAGGGCCTTCCAAGTAGGGCTGACCTAGTCTCTATCTGCCTTCGGGTAAATGGTTTGGTGGAGATGCCAGCTGAGCTCTGAGGCTGCAAGAACTGAAGACCAAAGTGTAAGTAAGGCTCATGTTGAAGAGATCAGAAAACAGAGGAAAGCCCAGGATAGGGTGACCAGTGAATGGTAAGAGCACCAAACTGTCCCTGAGGTCAGAGACCATGACACACATTTCCATAAAACTGGCATGTTTCTTAAATGGTTTTTTTTTTTGTTTGTTTGTTTCTTAAATGTTGAGTACAAATATCTGAGTTTGTCTCCTTCCCTGATGCTGTGGAACAGATCCACCACAGTGCTGTGCACAAGAGCTTCCCCCAACTCTTACTCCTAGCATCCTTCATAATCTTGCTCCCTCAAATTTATAGGATTGTCAGAATAAAAGTGATGAATCCAGTTCAGAATGCAGCCTTCATCCCATCAGAATTCTGAGTGTCAAAATTTTGATGGCAGTTGGGAAATACGCACAAAAGATTGGCCAAGCACAGAATGACAGACAGAGCTGTGTCCCAGAGTTGAAGACAGATTAATTTTGAAGCTTTTCTGCCTCCATCTTCTAGGTTATAAATGTCAGTGATTTGTCTTGCCTCTAAGCTTCATGTTTTAAACTGTACCCTTCCATGGTTACCACAGGCATTGTTTTATATAACCTACAGAAAATGAGTCACTTTTTTTTTAATATTTATTTATTTATTCATGAGAGACACAGAAAGGCAGAGACACAGGCAGAGGGAGAAGCAGGCTCCATGCACAGAGCCCGATGTGGGACTCGATCCCGGGTCTCCAGGATCACACCCTGGGCTGAAGGCAGATGCTCAACCACAGAGCCACCCAGGCATCCCATGTGTCACTTTATGAAAATGTAGCATTTTAGGATTTGTGGACTACTGCAGGCCTTACTCAATTCAATGGGTTGGCCAGAGAATAAAAACTTATTTGGGGAGGGCAGGGGCAGAGAAAGAGAATCTTAAGCAGGTTCCACACTCAGCATGGAGCCTGACCTGAGGCTTGATCTAACAACCCGGAAATCATGACCTCAGCCAAAATCAAGAGTCAGACTCTTAATCGACTGAGCCACCCAGGTGCTCCAGGGAATACAAACTTTAAGACAGTTATTCTCACAGTTGTTAAATGTTTGAAAAACTAGAAATCTGATTTTATGTTTCAGCTATTAAATGTCTCAGTAAGCACCAAATTTATCAATAAGCATTAAAATGATCAGCTTGTCAATTTCACATCATTACTAGATTTATCAATAAGCATGTGATAAAACCGAAACCAACTGGACTCTAGTGAGAGGCACCAAAAGGTGCAAGCAGCAGCCCCTGTGAGGCAGGTCTAGCTCTCACCACTGACCCCGCAGTCAACCCAGCCCCTGGCACATACGGGCTTGAAGGGACGGCTGCATGGACAGCTGACAAAAATGGAACAGGATGAGCATTTTCTAATCACCCACAGAGTCCATTTCTACTTGAATTAATCAAAAGGCCTGTTTTGAAGGTTTACTTAGGTAGTTTATCAGCTGAATAGGATACGATCTAGGTTTATGACCCAAGTGGCCTTTCAAAGCCTCCTTCCTCATGCCGCGTCCTAAACAGGACTGCTGGAAGAACGATCGGGGAGGAGCGAGGGTCGCCGTCCCACCGCTCACCTGCCATGTCGATGGCAAAGGGCCTGTCTGCTCTCCAGCCAGTGTACCAGCCCACGACCTTGCCGTTCTCCACCAGCGGACGTTCATAGCGCCGCCCGCCGACCAGGCCCACCGGCCACACGGAGACTTTGCGGGTAGTTCGCATCTGGAAGAGGGGGAAAGAGACGTGGTTTAAGTTTCCTTAGGGAACACAGCTTGAAGGGAGGACAGAAATGTGAACCACACAGGAGAAATGGGGTGGGGTGGGCGGTAGATTCTCAAAAGCCGAAGGTTCCAGACCGAACCCTGTCCTGGCAGACTGTGCCCAACTCGGCTGCGCGGCGCCACCGCCACCCTCTGCCACGAGTCGGCTGGTGGCTCAAGGCTTACGAGAAATAAAGTGGGCGTCAGTATCTGAACAGCACTGAGGTGAAGCTAAGCCGTGACCCTCAAAAATATTTTCTACCTGTTTCAAAGTGGAATCTTAATATTTTGCACCTTCAGAACTGAGAGTGTTGACTTCCCTTTAGGAAACTTTATTGCTCAGTAACAGCAAAAATTTCACTCAGAGAAGCCACAGGAGTTGCCTTTCTATGAATTTTTTATTTGTACGGACACAGAAATATCGGCTGGGGGTGTTAATAAAGGCATCCAGGGACAGAACAGGTATCAGGCATTCTCCAGAGTGACAAAAAGAAAAACCTACCTTACATTCTGCCTTTCAAGGGAAATTGGGCCCAAACAGAGGAGAGGACACTCATGCAGGCAGCTGGGGAAGCTGGCCCTCTTCCAGCACACAGTGTAGTATCTGGGGAGCTCTGGTTAAAGACAGTCCTCGAATGAAAGTTATTTGCTGGATTTCTTTAAGGGGAAAGACATGTTCATGACAAAGCTTCCTGATACTGGGCAGCATTCTGGGGAGACACTACCATCACCACCACCTTCTAAGACACGTGTCAAACAGGGCCATAGGCAGCCCACATGACACCTTGTGCAAACTAGAAGCTTCCCTTTTCCCAGCACACACCTATGCAGGGGCCTGTGGCTTGGCCATTAAAGCACAGGCTGATTTCAACTCCACTCGCCCTCTCAGCTGGGGGCGTCCTTGGGCGTGACCTATATAGCTGCATTTGATGGGCCTGTTGTAATGACAATTTCAACACCAAAGGTTTTTTTTCCCCCCTCAACACCAAAGCTTTGTCTTTTATCTGCTATAGAACAGGGTCGTGATCAGTTAACCAATGGTTAAAATAATGATTATCGGGTTTTTTTATGAAAGAAAAATTATATACTTGGGAAATATTTTCAAATATAATTCACATGAAAAGTCTTATTAATAGAGTAAAAATAACTAGAAGCTTCTATTTGCCAGGCATTCCAATTTCACTTATTAATTTCCCACCTGACTCCAGAAAGATTAAAGGGCATGAAACATTTCAGGTAATAAAGATCTCACCGTATCAGTCTTCCACAAATTTGGAATTATTTCTATAATCTATTACTTTCCCAGTAAATTAATCTCCATTACCTTGTGCTCATACTAACTTATATGATGATTTTTTTTAATATATGATGATTTTTAAAAAATCTTACTGAGGCATAACTAATGGGAGGAAAGAGTTAATAGTTCTGAGACTACTGTCTAAGAGACTTGCTTAGTAGGCTGGCCCTTGGCTGGCATCTGGGAACCTGGCTTTTGAAACAGTCTCTATACGGATAAAGTTGTTTTGCCTCCCTGGGGGCACTGAACACCTGTTTTCCTTTTGGGAATCCGAAATATTAGAGGGCAGGAGGTGCCTATGTGATCAGCCCCCATAAAACATCCTGAATGCTCAATGTTACATGGGCTTCCCAGGGCATAAATATTGCACATCTGTAGTTACAGTTTTGCTGTCAGAGAGAAGATGTGCTTGTGTGATCCCTCAGGGGAGGGAAAAAACATAGAAAATCTGCACATGGATTCTTCAGTGTCTTTTTCCCCTCACTGGTCTGGCTATGTATCCTTTCTGTGTCACTATAATAAATCTAAGCCACAAGTACGACTATATGCTGGGTGCTAAGTGTCCTAGTAAATCACAAAATGTGTGGCTGATCTTAGGGGAGCCCTGAAAGAATAAAATGTAACTTTTAAGGTGTAAAATTTGATACCTTTTGATACATGCACATAGCCATGAAACCATCACCACAATGATGAACAGATTCATCATCCCCCAAAGTTCCCTTGTGCTCATTTTTTAATCCCTCTCTCCCATCACTCTCCCCTCTCCACATCCCCAATCCCCCTATCTTCTCATCCCCTATACCACGGAACTCCTGGTCTATGCATTAGTTTGCATTTCATAGAATTGCATACAAATGGAATCATACAGTGTATACACGTATTTTCATTTGGTTTTACTCTGTTCAACCATAAAGATTCATCCATGCTATAATGTTGTGTTATCAATAGTTAATTCCTTCAAATTACCAAAGAAGATTTTTTTGTATGGATGTGCCACAGATTGTTCTTGTTTTTATCTATTTGCCTGTTGACAGACATTTGGGCTGTTGCAAACTTCTGGCTATTATAGATGAAGCTGCTGTGAACATCTGTGTACATATGAACTTCACTTTTTTGGGGGATAGATATCTAATGGAATAGCTGGATCACATGGTATGTATACATTTAACTTTTAAAGAAACTGCTAAATTATTTTTCAAAGTGGTTGCACCATTTTACATTCTCACTAGCAGTGTATGAGAGTCCCAGTTACTCCACATCCTCATCAACATGTGGTGTGGTGTTTAATTTTAGCCATTCTAATAGACATTAGGAGTTTCTTGTGCTTTTAATTTGCATTTTTCTAGTGACTAACGATGTTGATGTTGACTATCTTTTCAGGTGCTTATTTGGCATCCATAATCTCTCCTTCATTGAAATATTGTTCAAATTTTTGCCTATTTTAAAAACTATTTTCTTACTATTGAGTTTTGAGTTATTTATATATTCTGCATACAAACTCCTCAGATGATTTATGATTTGTAAGTTTTTATGATTTAATATCTATAATAAATGTTTTATATTTATGACTTATATTTTATCCCATTCTGTGGCTTATAATGTTCATTCTCATAATAATGTATTTTGAAAAATAGAACTTTTAATGTTGATAAAGTCCATCCAATTCATCAATTTGTTCTTTCGTGGATCATGCTCTTGATGTTGTATCTAAAATCTCTGCCTAACTCAGGGGCATCTGGGTGGCTCAGCTGGTTAAGTGACTGTCTTGCTTTCAGCTCAGGTCATGATCTCAGGGTCTTGGGATTGAGGCTCCCCACCCCTTCCCCTGGCAGGCTCTGCGCTCAGCATGGAGTCTGCTGGAGGTTTATCTCCCTTTCCCTCTGCTCCTCTCCTTCTTGTGCACATGCTCTAAAATAAATAAATCTCAAAAAATAAAAAGAAAATCTTTGCCTAACTCAAAGTTATGAGTTTTCTCCTCTACAAGTATTACAGTTGTAGGTTTTACATTCAGGTTATGGTCTATTTTGATTTGTGAGTATGATATGAGAGACTAACTGTGCCACCCAAGCACCCCTGAAGTTATTTTCTTTATCCTTCCTGCATTTGGATATCCAATTGTTCCAGCCACAATATGTCAATGGACAGTTCAGAACAACTGAACTGTCTTTGCCACTTTGTCAAAAATCAGTTGCCATGTATGGGGGGATTTATTTATGGATATTCTCCTCTAACCTGCTGGTCTAGTTGGTGATCTTAGTGCTAACACCCTGTCCTGATTTACTGTAGCTTTGTAACAATTCTGGTCGTCACACAGCATTTGTTCTTCTTCATCAAAGTTGTTTTAACTCCTTTTTTTCTTTCCATATGAGCTTCAGAGACACGTTTTCCATTAGGGCAAATTTTGACTGGGATTGCATTAAATCTATATGTCAATTTGGTGAGAACTGATACTTAACAAAATCAAGTCTTCAAACCCACAAACATGATTCAGATTTTTAATTTTCCTCAGCAATGTTTTTGCGATTTAATTCTTGAATCAATATTAACATTTAATGTTTTATGTCCTAGGTCTTCTCCATTGGTGAGGGGGAAAAAAACCAGAAAATTTACTAAAATTTCCACAGAAATAGAGCCCTCTCCCCAACTCACACCATCTTCAAACTCCTGTTCCCTCCCATGCTGCAGAAAATGTAAGCATTTCTATTTTTTTTTTGTCTTATGTATCAAACATGCCAAACCTATGAAGAAACTAAAATCTAATACATGTGTTTTTCTTAAATTGACACATGGCCTTATATCTATCTATAAGGCACTAAAAATAGTATTGTTCTTGATATTTTCGTAAAATGTCTATGATTTTTCAGCTTCTAAATTGCTTTTGCTCAGAGCACTAACTTTCTAAATCTGCTAAACACCGGTCAACAGAACCCATCTCAGCCTTGTGTGTCCTCTTGAAAATGCCTAGGTTGTGCCCTGCATACATATCAGGGGCCAGAAAATTCTTGATAAACACCAGGTAGTAAGTGAAACATGGACCACATGTAATAAGCAGTGTGTGCCTGTGCAGCACAAGGGATAAGCTCACAATCAAGAGAAGCGGACAGACCATAAACAAACAGAAGTTAAAAATGCTTTTGAAATGGGAATGGAGAAATCATTAAGGAGAATAATAAACCACAACTGTGAGACCACGAGAGTAAGGGAATTAAACATAGCTGAGCACGTCTTGTGGCAGCCTTTTCACTTAAGCTGAGCCATGAAAGACATGTAGGATTTGGCCCACAGACTTCAGAATAGCCTCAGGTTCTAGGTAATGAGATGAATCAAGATGCAAAACTTCACATTTCTGTGCCAGTTTCTTGCTAGAAAATGCAGGTTTTGCTGAACACATTCCAAATTTCTAAGAAGAGCTCAGAACTTGCATTTTGTTTTGTTTTTACCCCCAGAGAACTGGGTGTTAAAAGGTGAAGGAAGGAGTAATTATTTGGACGCAGGTGAGATGGCAGGATTATGTTTCCAAGTGTGCTAAATTAAAAAAAAAAGTGTGTCATTTAAATAGTTTAATACTTTGGAAAGATCCAGATGCCCCTGCCATGTGCGCACGGCTCTGAGAGTCAATGTGGAATGCTTCATCAGAGTTAGACACACAGCCCCTCGGTACACCA